TCTGCACTGGGGCTTCCTCCAGATTCTGGGCTACAGCCCTCTGCCCTGGGAGGTGCCATGCCTGCAGCGCTTATCCAGCTTTATAGGATCAGAAACATGTTGGGAAAGGGATTCTGGGGGTCTCCAGACCAACCACCCACTTAGAAGAGGACTATTGCTGACACTGAATGACAGCAGCTATGACACGGCTGTGGTCAACTGACACTCTCATCCCTATTCTCTTGGAAAGGATGAAGCTGATTTAGCTTGAAAATACCTATTGGGCTCTAATACCCTGAAGAACAGCCCTGGCTTGGGGCTAGCTGGTAACGGACTATGTAGCAGCCACTCCTGCCCCTCTGCCTGTGGTACTTGGGATTTCGTACTACCCTCCCCTACAGACAACTGGGGCCAGGACCAGGAGGCAGGATCACCACATACCAATAATGTCAAGGGAGGTCTGGTGATTCAACACGAGGACAAAAGGTTTCTTAGTCCTGAGGTTCTCCTTGCCCTTCACCACTATCTTGAGCCCAAAGATGTATTTGAGTGGTAGGAATGACATGCGCAAAAACCTGGAAAAGGGGAGCAGACATAAACCAAAGAGACACTGAAACTGGGTAAAGGAACCAAATACCATTCTTCCAAACCAGCCCATCTCACAGACTGCTCCTGCAGAGTAGCCTGTTTCTCTGCACTCGTAGATTTGACCCATGACTTGGAGAACAGCAACCAGTACGTCTCTTCAGCTCATCACTTCATTAGAGAAGACAAATACACCTGGTAGGTTTTCTTCAAGCCAGGTTAGACCAATGGCCAAGGAACTTCAGCTGTGGATCAGCCAAATACTAGATAATGCCCAAATTCATAGTGCACCTGTTTGTACTCTACTTCCCTGCCCACCTTGCTGAATCGTGAACACAGGCTGCCATAAACATGCCGTGCACCTAACTCCGCTATAGCCCACGCTGTGGAAAGAGAGATGATTTTGCCTCTGGGTGACATTAGACTGCAATTCTGGTAGCCATATTTTAACAGATACTGGAAAAATAAAGAAAAGAATAAAAGTCAAGCACAAAAGTCAAGAACTGAAGAAAATTTCTTAAAGTGAACGGCTGATGCCTAATTAAGAGATACGAACTCCCACTGCAGCATGCAACAATGAAGTAGTAAATCCTGCCTCTGCAGCACTTCAGGAGGCTACAAGCACTATGCTGCCGTATAGCAGAGTCAGCTTCTAGCCCCCACTCAACCCACAGCCCAAGTTACCAATGCCCACCGCTGCTAACCACATGTGTACACCCAGCTGCGCAGCCTCCGGCTAAGTCCAGCAGCTCGTTGCAGAGGCAGTAACAGATGGAGAGAGGGGATGGGCAGCACGGGGACGGGCTCAGAGACTGCCAGACCTGGGGGCACCGGCCTGTAATTGCAGTGATGGGGACACCAGTGACAATGCAGGCGCCAGCACTGCGCCGTGTTAATGTCTGCTCGTGCCGGCTCAGGTGGGCACTGGGTCAGAATAAAGTTGAGAAAGAAAGAGCACCTGCAGAGGCTTTCTCAACACAGCTTAGAAGGGGAATGACCAACCACATGGAGGAGGGAAATACGGCTCGGAAGGCCAGATAGGAGAGGTTTACTAAAAAAATCAAGTTCCTTTACCTGTGCATTACATCCGGTTTGTTGGCATTACCTAGTCTGTCAAATTTATGTCACCTTTTACATCCTTTCCTTCCATCATTCATTATTCTTTCTATCAACTCAAATACAATACTGTAACCCACATTCCTTCTCTGAATTACAGGGCCTGGCAACTCTCCACACCAATATACAACAAGGAATTCCCCCCCTCTGCAGCGCAACTCCCAGGACCCTCCAAAACAGTACGAGTTGACTCTATCCATGCCCAGAGCAGAAAGAAGCCACAGACAACTTACTTACTTAATGTTTGCCACATTACGTCCACGAGGAATACTGATGATAATAACCAGAATGCTTAGGGTGAAGAGCCACAACTTATAGAAGGTCATCTTGCAGAAATATCTGAATGCAGGATTCACCTGGTAAAGGACTAGAAACGTGATGAACAGAAAAGTAACTGGGTAGTGAAGGAGCAAATGCTCCATCCTTCCAGCCCAGAGTTAACCAGAGGAGCGTTGCACAGAGCAGTAAATGAGTCACGAGCACCCGATGTTGTGGAGCAGAGTTCAGATTCCCTTGATCAGCTACATGTGGGTGGCACAAGGCTGGAACGAGATTCGGGAGCGATGCTTCAGAAAGGCTGTGGTCGCTGCTCAGAGCTAAACTAACCGTGGAAAGCCGGTTTAGCAAGGGATCTCCAGCAGCACTGTGTGTAAGAGCTGGCTGGCAAGCAGGGGCAAACACGCAATAGCAAGGCTGCCTATGTGCAGGAGGCGTGTGTGGCTCTGGGCTGGTAAAGCAATGACTGCTTGGAGAGACAGCCCCCCTTCAGGGGGGCTCTGTGCATAGGAACCCTGAGAACTTTTAAGAAAATCTTTAATGGGAGGGAGTGGGATGTGTCGGACAGCAGAGACAGCAGGCTGTCTCACTTTCTGTGCAAGCATTGAACTTCACCAAGAAGTGAGCTGGCTGCAAGATGCCCAGGAAATCAGAAATTAGTATTATGGAGGAGAGAAAGAGAAAAACAGTGATCCTAGCAGCCAGCTCCTGCCCCATACATCTAGGCAATAGAGGGACCAAGCTGAGCAACTGGACATTCCTCAAGAAGAGTGGGAAAAGTGGAAAAAGTGCCACATGTCTAGACAAAAAGATAAACAAAGCAAGAGCAGCTACTCCTGATGTTTTCATGGCCAGAGGCAGGCACATGTTTAGACAGCATCTGCATACGCAAGAAGTAAATCAGGAAGTATAACCTGGGAGAGCTCCAGCTGCATTTCACCTCCTAAAACCATTGCATGAAAAAGATCTTTGCAACAAGTACAATGACTAGGTTGAAAAACAAAAGCTTCATGTTTCATCATCTGCACAACAGGCCTTGCTCAAGCAGCTCTCACTTAAGAGGAGTAACAATATTAAATTCCAGCTGCAGATTTTCAAAAGGGAATAGTCCCAGGACCCATAAAACCACATTGATTGTTACCTGCAACCTAAAGAACAAGATCAAATCCCTGAGAACAGTAAAATGGACAAGGTTCAGCAATATTTCATGAAGAAACTGAGGAAAGGCGTGATAATAAAGAAAGGCATTGGTTGTGCTCCCTGCTCCCTTGGCTTAGCCAGGGACCCATCTTCTCCTGTCTTTCGTGGGAAAACTGGAGAGAAGTGACTGCTGGCCTTGCTGCTCAGCTCTCCCAAGGCTTCCCTGCAACCACAGGAGAGGCAGCCAAAGCAAAGAGCTTCGTCCACAGCCTCCTCACTGTCCCTGCACCATTAAAGCAAAAAGAGCTTTGTCCACAGCCTCCTCACTGTCCCTGCACCAGCACGTGAAAAAGACAAGCACCTCATGTGCGCACATTGGACCCAGGCACTGTGACCCCTCTGTACTGGAGCTGCAGAGACTACCTCCCCTTTGAATTCAGTTCATAGAGACTAGCCATGGCTGCTTTGTGCTTATCCAAGGTCTGATCCAGCAAACAGTTACTTTCCTCATGCTTATTAACCTTCTTAATATCTCAGCAGTATCAATTATGGCCTTTCACAGTTGGGCAGAGGCTGATTTGACACGCAACTGGTTCATCCTGATCTACCAGGAGAGAGGTTGCTAAAATTTAATGCCAGTGAAAGGCACTTTGAATGGCTGTCCCGCAAGGACAGCCGTAGCTTTCAAATCAAGCCTGCTGTCGTCAGGCTCCTAATGGGAGAGGAACATCTTACACAACTCTGCACATGAAAACTCGCCCAGAATGTCTAGGGACAGGGAAGCGTGCAAATAGGAACTCATCACAAATCACTGAAGAGCTTTATTTTTAAGTCACTGACAGTAATTTACAAATACTTTCATCAAGGCCGTAAGGAAATAATGTTCCTGCAGTATACAGTGTACTACCAAACAGGTACTAAGCTGTGGCAAGTTGATGACTTACCCAAAGGAACACAGAAACCTGAAAGTACAGCTGATTACAAGAACACAAGATCCTGAACCTGAGGGAAAGACAGAAAAATGTCTCCAGCACAAATGGTGGTCTCCACGTGGTCGAAACAAAGCATAATCAGAGAAGGACCCACAAAAGCAGATCTACAAGTGTGAGGATCTGTTAGACCCCTGGTGTGGCCGGTTTATGAGAGGACTGCTTCTCCATGGCACCACCAAACTGAGGAATAACCAACATCGGCTGGGCGTCACCGAATTGCTCCATGCAGAAAGGTGACTCCATGCACCCGGAGCACTGAGGACAGGCAAGGTCTCAAGAAGACACCAGATACACAAGAGTTTGAAGCTAGGCTAATGGTTATTTGGGGCTTTCAACAGCTGGTAAGTATCTCTGATGAGTATAGGAAAAGGCAAGGACCTGAAGAGATAATAAAAATTATGCCATTCCCAACTCACCAAGGAGAGCCAGTCAGCTCAGATCTAACAAAACACTTAGGCTCCAAACCCACAGATGCTAAAATCCTCAGCTATAATTTTCTTCTGTTGCAAGGATCCCTGGCACCTAGATCCATCATGCTTCCATTTCAAAAGCAGTCAGGTCTTGCCTAACCTGTAAGGTGTTTTCAGAAACTACAGCTCTAATGAAGTTCCCAGTTTCCAGACTAAATGTATCCATGCTCAGTTGACTCCCTTTTGCCCCTGGGCCTTTGCACCCTTTTCAGAGCCTGGCCCAATTTAAGTGAATCTTAGATAGGGAGAGGAGGGGCTTGCTCATATCATGAGCTTTCATCATGCAGCTTTAGAGACTCTCCTACTCACCAACTCTGCTAAGGCACACATTGGCCCGAAGAGAGAGGTGGAGGCAGGGAAGGTGATCTAATCTAATGGGAAAAGGCTAAGAAAATTGTCTTGTTCGTGGTAAGCAAATGAAAGCTCAGAAGAAAACAGACTGTCAATACAGCAACGCTAGAGAGAGAGAAGAGTTGCTTAAGTTAAAGCTCACAATTGACTTCTCAATGTGAAAACAATTATTTCAGGATGAAATAAGAGGACTGGATTCTGAAATGGGAGAAATTCCCACTGGAAACTGCTGGCAGAAATAGCTCCACTGGAACAGACTGGAACAAGCTATCAAAGGGCAAAGTGTTGGGACTGCTCAGTGCCAAGGACCACATGGGCCACCCAGTCTTCACAAGAACAGGACTAAAAGGAACTCATCTAGCGCATACAGTTACTACACAGTTAAATAGAGGTATTAACAGTGATATTAAAAACTTCAGAGGGATTCCAGGGTAAATATATTAGAGACAGTTCATCAAGACTGAGGAAACTGTATTTATCATGCTCCAGCTGCAGCTCCATGATGAATCCATGCATCGCTCAGTTTTACAAGGCACAGATTGGCTTTGGATACCTATTTATAAGCAAAGGCAGAGCTGGAAATTTTCGTAATGACAGGAGAAGAAGAGTTTCTACAAGAAAATATGTACTGACTCATGAAGATTTCCGTGGCATCCAGACAGCTCTGACAGAAATGTAACGTGACGGGCTAAAATAGCTTGCACTATAGGACTTGCATCCAAGGGGGTGGTGCACAGTACAGCCAGGTGAATGTGGGCTGGAAAATAAATCAGTTTATCACTGTAAATCACAGAAACATTGAGGTGGGAAGGGACCCCTGGAGGTCTGCAGTCCAACCAGCTACTCAGAGCAGGGTTAACTCCAAAACCAGATTAGCTTGCTCAGGGCCTTGTCTAGGTAAGTTTGGAGAATCTCCAAGGATGGAGGTCCCACTAGCTCTCTGGTCCCTGTGTCTGCATTGCACCACTATCATGGGGAATAATGTTTTTCTTTGTCTAATGGGAATTTCCCTTGTTGCAATCTGTGTCTGTTGCCTCTTATCCTTACACTGTGTGCCTCTGGCTTCATAGCTACTCATCAGGAAGTCGAAGACTGAAAAGAAATCACCCCCCCTCTGCCCTTCTCTTCTCCAGACTGAGCAAATCCAGCTTCCTCAGCCTTTCTTTGTACATCATGTGCTCCAGCCCACTGACCACCTTGGTAGGCCTCCACTCAAATGAAGTATAGTCATCACTGGGAGAAGGTCCTGAGCAGGATAGACTCAGGATGGACATCCATTCCCAGAGCTGAAACAGCTGGGGAGGCTGCAGGTGGGGAAGAAAGTGAATGAGAGGCCCTGACAGAGCTGGGGGGGAGAGCTGCATTTCTGAAATCAGCAGCAGAGGCTGAGCAGGGCAAACAACCCCGTCCCGGCTCCTGCAGGCTGTGTTCCCATCTCAGTGGCTCCACAGCCAGGGAAGGCACGCTCTGGGCAGTCCTGTTGCAACAGCCCCCATCCTGCTGTACAGGCATTTCACGGGTTTGATTAGGTAATCAAGCTGATAAACTAGATTAAATTTTCCAAATGTCAGCCTTTTCAGCTAAAATTGGAAAAATAGGTCCTCTGTGCTTAGTGCACACAGAAAGATCATGGGTGACTTTGAGACAGTCATTTCCTCCCCCTTAAGTTAATTGCTGAAGTCAAAAGGTAATGAATGAGCCCTCTGTCCCCAGGGGGGCTGAACAGATGCTGGAAGTGCAGACATTAGAGTGAGACAACTAATACTAGAAAACTAAAGCTAGAGAGACTGAGACACACATCCCCCATGTAGTCAGGCATCTCACACCCATCAAATCTGTTGTCTCCCGTGTAGCTCTCAGCACCAGGAACTTACCCAAGAAACAATGGGCTTCAACCCACTCCTAGGGCAAGCTTGCATGCTTTCTGCCTTCAAAACGTGTCCAGGCTTATGTTTGTCAGCTACACACCCGGGGTGTTACGCAGCCCCAGCATCGCCCCTCCACCCTGGCCAAGTGCTGGCAGAAGTTGGTATCTATGCCTGTTCTTTTTCTCCGAGGATCTCACGGGAACTCTTCCCATTTTGGAGGTGATAAGGAGAAGATTACTGTCAAGTGTTTGTTGGAACTAACTCCTGCGCCAACCCCTTTCGCTGAGGAATATTTCATAGTGCCACATGACACAGGAGTATGGGTCAGAAACTTCAGCAAGAAATATCTTCTTTCATTAAAAATACACAGGTTCTTGAATCTGCTTTGTGCAATATCCCCATACAAAACCTACCACCATCTTCCACTCACTTGTGGTTACTGCACCTTTTACAAAGTGCAAGGAACATTTTGGCCTCAGCTCAAAATTGCAATTTATTGATCTATAGCAGTAACACAACAAACTACAGAGGAAGGAGAAAGCAGTTTTAATCCCTTTCAACATAAGATATTGAGGGGACAAAGTTGGAGTAAGACTAGATTAGCTTTTACTTTCTTGTGCTTTAAGACTGTTCTTTTCTTTGCCAGGATACATCCCATCACCTCCACAGCCCAGGGGTAAGTCACTCTGGCTCATGCCAGGCTGCAGGAATAACTTGTCACAGTTTTCCATCACATTAGATGATGCCTTAAGCATTCTGGACTAAGGGCAAAAAATGATGACAGAACAGCTTTCTTCCATGTGGACAATTTCTTCATTCCATATTCAAGCAAAACCTGAAACAGGGCATTTTAAACAAGTCTATTTGGGGTGCATGACAGCTATTGCTTCTTCACTCAAAGGCACTGTGAAATTAGTAGATTTTCTCTGGAAACTGAAGTACGTACTCTCTTTAAGCAAAAAAACTGGAAAGCAAGAATAAGCAGTCATTCCAATACCCCAATCTCTTTCTATATAGGTTGGAAACTTTGAAAGGAAGGTCCAGAACATGTTTTTGACAGTAAAGCTTACTGAAACGCAGTGTATGTGAAATTGCCTCAGCTGGTTTGATTGGGAGTCAGTCTCCAGATAACTCATTTTGCTTTGCTTTGTGATATTGAGTGATCTGCACAGATCTGGGACATCTTTTCATGAAGTTCTTTTATCGCTGGACTCCATCTCACTGAAAAGGCTTCATGCAGACTAAATTGAGCAAATGACAGCAATCATGCTCAAACATTTCAGGCAGTAAAAGCATACACACAGTAAAAAAAAAAAAAAAAAAAAAATCAATCTCAGCAGCTTCCCAAGTCTGGACTTCTGGTGAATCTTCAATGTTCAGCGTTAAAAGTCACCAGGTGCTTCTTCTACAGGACATAAAAAGCAATGTGTTAACAAAAGAGAAAAGGACATGCCATAGTTCCCTGTTATCTTGTGTGATTTATTTCCATAGGTTAAGCTGGAAAAGAGGGACCACTAACTCTGGTACTAGTCCTGATTGCTCTAAAGACCTCCACGGATCCCTCCTTGACTACAAGATCCTACAGGTCTCACTTTTTCTGGCACCATGAAGGTGGCATTTACGGTTGCTCCCTGCCACACTTTCGAGCTGATAATCCCATAGCCCTGTGGAGAATATAATGAACCATCCTCACGCAAAGTGGGAGCTGACTGCAGACGGAGTTATCATAGAATCATAGAATAGTTTGGGTTGGAAGGGACCTCTAAAGGTCATCTAGTCCAACCCCCCTGCCGTGGGCAGGGACATCTTCAACTAGACCAGGTTGCTCAGAGCCCCGTCCAACCTGACCTGGAATGTTTCCAGGGATGGGGCATCCACCACCTCTCTGGGCAACCTGTGCCAGTGCTTCACCACCCTCAGCGTAAAACATTTCTTCCTTAGATCTAGTCTAAATCTACCCCCCTTTAGTTTAAAGCCATTCCCCCTTGTCCTGTCGCAACAGGCCCTGCTAAAAAGTTGTCTGAGCTCTTAACGATTGCTGTTAGCTGCAGAGATTTGTTCCTTCTCACAGCCTGGATATCGTCATGAGAGCATGGCAGGGCCTGACCATCAGAGCAAAGGAAAGATGATGTTTTGTTAGGAAAAGGCATGGCCCTAAGGCACTGAAACAGCCCTCCTTTCCCAGGGGAGAGCTACTCTTGCCTACATCTACTTCCCAGGGATTTCAGAGAGCATTTTGGAAGAAAAGCATTAAACCTCAAGAACTTTACAAATCCTGAAGGCAGCTGAGGGAAATACTGTAAATATAAGCAAAATCTTTCCTAGCAGAAGTCAAACTCCACAGTCTCTTCCATAAAGTAGGAACCTCTACTCAAGTGCAGAGCTGCTTTTGGTCTGACCAGGATGTGCTGACAGCCTGCTCAGAGCAGTGCAAAAGACAGACCAACCGCCTAGACAGAAAGACTAGCCTCCCCGATCCGGGCATCACTTCCCATGCAGAAAAGCACAGGCATCAACAGCGAAGAGCTAAACTGAAAAGTCTGTTAATCAGAAAAAGCCCAGAGCAGTGCACTTAGCTTGGTCTTGCAATGCTGATGCTGGAAAATCTGCATGCTGGAGGTGCTACTCTCAGTGGACCTGATGAAATGGAGTATCTAAACATGTGCTAGATATGTACCTGGCACATATGTTCAGACCTGTTTTAGAGCCTCAGGGTCTGGTTATCTCACACGTTTGCAGGAAGGAACTGTCTGCTTTTTGAAGCTTATACCTTGCTCTGTAACTTCCTCGGTCCTCTTTGACTTCCAGGCTCTGAGGTTCAGCTTTGGGATCCAGCTCACAAAGCCACAAGGGTATCTGTTAGCCCAGAAGATATGTCTTGGTACTTTAGAGATGTGGGTGTTGTCACATATTATTCGTGACAAGGAGATTTTGGCCAGTGAAAAGCGCTGCCGAGGAGTGAAAAGCCCTCTGTTCTGCCACCAAAACCTGCAGGAGAAAGAAGACAACACAACAGGTTTTTGCCTTCTGGCTTCTTCACATTCAAGACTCCTGTAACATTATTTCCCATTAACACCAGTAACACATTTCTTTTGCCAAGAACAAATTTAAATTTCTGTTATTTAAATCAAGAGCCCCAGCTCACCAGCTGAATAATTTAACTTGCTTTTCTGCCATGGACATATAATAAAGATGCAATTGAATTAAAGCCTTGCCCTGTGTTCCCTCAAATGAGGCACAGGCACCCTCTTTCAAATAGAAAAGTCTGCACATACTGTACGCGGACTGTGGTTACATCCACATGATTGCCATGCTGGAACCAGCCCTATAATTACTCTCTTTAAAAAAAATGGGTTCTTGTATCCTGCCATAAGAATAGGATTTCTAGATATGCAGTAGACTGTTTGCCTTTAAGCTCCCAATACTGGGTTTTGAGCTCACAGTAGGTCTTTCTAGGCAGAAAAGTTTCCCAGAAACACTGGTCATGATCCCATTTTCAGGCAATATTGCTAGCAAGTACCGGGACTTTGCTTCAGAAATGCAGCTTAAAATGGGGCACATAACTCACTTCTGCACCTGATGCCCCTGAGCAACTTCAGGGAGGAGGAGGACTCCAGGTATGTTGAAAGCACAACACTTCTCAAATTATTTTGGCTGGCAAGCAAATCCCAACCCACCCATATCCTGGTGCAGGTGAAGCCCAAGCACTCCTACATGTCAGACCACAGGGTTCCAACTCAGAACTGGGGTGGAAAGGAGAAATAGTGAAAAATCATCTCTAAGACCCCTAAGAAGTGCATAAGACACTGTGATGGTGCAAAGCTGTGTATTGCAAACTCAGGAGATGGGAAGGTGGACAGATGTTTGACTTTTGCAGGGCACAGCAGCCCACAAGGAGCAGTTCCACAGAGAGGGGACAGGGATGCTGCCAGTGCCGGGGAAGCAGCTTGGGCTGAACTGAGGCTTAACCAAGAGAGAACAATTAATCTCTTTTACTCCCTGCAAAGCCTGAAAGTATGTTAGTCTTTGAGCAACATCCCTTGGTCTGCAGGCAAATTTTCAAAACTACCCAAAGCATGAGTCACCACATCAACAGATGCTGAGCATCTACTGTCAGTGCAAGCCATTCAGGCTGATTAAACCTGACGGCTTTTTTTCTAGTTGGTGAAGTCAATCCATCTAGATCCTGGTTTTCCCACCTTTAGAGCTGTACCTGTTTTTCTTGTTAAGGTATTTATATGTTTCCCTTTGCTGGAGTGAGCTGCTGTTTGAACACACAGTAACACGGACCTCCTTGGAACCACTTATCTGAAGGAGGAAAAGAGCTCAAACATTCACACTGGGTGTGAACCATCAGCATGGAGAAGGGCAATCCAATCTGCACAAGTAGTGATTGGCAGTGAATGGGCTGAGAGTGAAAACACTTGCCTGGGAAGGGATCTTAGCCTAGGATCTCAGCCATCATCTAGACAGGGAATAGGAACATCACCAGAAAGGGAAAGAAACATTTGGAGGAGTAATGAAAAAAAAGCAACAAACAACTGGAACGGTTTCCAAATCTGCATAAAGAAATACACATAAACTCCAGTCTCCCTCTGCCCTTTGGGGTGTGAATACCCAGTTCCTCTCTTACCTGTCCCCATCACGAATGTTCCTGAACTGGGTGCCAACGAGGCAAGCCATGAGAGGCCCAACTCTGCCTCCATTCACAAAGGGCTCTGCAAGTGCCCCAATCCAAATGTCAATATCCTTTGGTGTCCCATACAGCCGTACGAACTTCTTTGCCAGACCACGATTCCTCAACACTCGAGCAGGTGTCTTCAGTCCAGAGGGTTATGAGAGCCCACAGAATTGTCTCCAGGAGTTATAGCCTGCAAGCAGTTGGGTATCAGAGCAGACAGATCAGTAAGGTGTTTCCCCCTCCTGGAAAGATTTTTCCCTCTCTTTCCCAAAGTCAGGGCACAGGTAGGGTCCCAATATATTTAAAACATTTTTCTAAATTTTTCTATATTTCTGGTAATGCCATCAGCTTTCCACTCCTCCAGAGCCAGTTCATCCTGCCTGGCATTTCAATGCTGTTTGTGGAAGGGCCATGTCTTTGCAAGTGATCTCTGCTAGTGGGAGTTGCTCCATCACCTTCCAGCATCGTTTTGCTGTTCCACTTAGCAGCAATGCAGGTGCCTGTGCACAGCCTCCAGAGCCACGGTGTCTGAAAGTGATGGCCATTACCCTCCTGGTGATGGGACCGAGGAGCTATGGGAGGCCCATGCCCTGCTGAAGCTGCAGCAGAGAGACAGAGGACCGACGCCAGGGCATTTCAAATAGCAAAGGAGACCTATGTTCAGGCACCTGATCCTGCATGTGCTGTGACTGCTCCTAACCCTGTGCTGTGGGTGCTCAGATGAAGGGTCTGGGCATGCCTAATGGCTGTCTCATCTTCACTGTGACCCAGGAACCCTAAGGGAGCATACAGTCTCAGATACCTTCAGCTAGAGCCACAGGAGAGAGGTCCTCACAAAACTTGATGTTGCCTTCATTGAAAGTGAATCTGGACAAGATGTTGATGCTACCTCTTTCTGTACAATAGGATAGTGGCCAAGTACTTCCCCACAGCTGGTCTCACTTGTGTCCCTGTCTAGCCACAGGGTCTAGCCATCCCACACTGCAAAGAGAGCTCTACATAGCCCAAATTACTTCAGGTGGGAGAGGGCCACTGGACTTTGCCAGCTGGACTAATTTTTCTGTACTGCAAACAGCTGAAAATCCACTGGACCACAACAGGTGCATAATTCTGCATCTTGGTGGACAGGGCACATACCCAGCAAAGGGCAATTTGCGACTCAGTGTCTTATCAAACGACCGCTTAAGTAGAGGAAAAGTCTATGGAGCACTAACGCCTGCTCCTACCTGCCACCTCAGTGAACTGTTAGGTGCAGAGGTGAGATGATGCTGCAGCATACACCTCTGCTGAGAGCAGGATGTCTAAAAACTGGGGAGAATTCAGAGAAAAAGATACAGCATATGGTGCCTGGATGACACCACTACCAAACAATTCAAGGAGACTGAGAATTTGCTTTATCAGAAAAAGAATTAGGAAGCTTTTTTGATCTTGCTATACCGTCATCCCCTTCATAGGTTGTCTAACATCAAGGAGTACAGTAGCACTCAGGGGTGGGCTGAGACCCAAAGGCTAGGAGCTAAACACAAATTCACACTAGAAATACATGTCAGTCCCGCTGCAGCAGATCAGCAGTCAAAGCCATAAATTCAGGATTTGTGGTTCAGATCAGGTTCTGCACAACAGTGTTCCTAGATAAAGCATGAAAAAATAGCAACCTTCTGTTGCGGCAAAGGCAGAGCAATCCTGTGACCTGACCATGCACCTGGATGTATTGCAAAGCCTCTGTCTGGGCTTAAAACCTGTGAATCCAGCACACTTTTCATTACAGTTTCAAAGTGAGCCCTATTGCATCTCCCAGGACGTTACTGACACAGCAGCTCCAGGCACTTACATCAGCCTAATAACACTGTTAGGCAACGACACACCCATGAGCCACTTGTAAAGTCCTATCAACAATCTGTTTCTCAAGACCGTCTTGCAATGCCATTACACTGTTTTTGCATCTTGCGGGGCCCTGAGAGTGGTTCTGACATGCTTTTTTTCTGGGACACAGTCTTTATCGAGAAGTTACCAAGAGATTTTCCTCACATACTGCGATCTGCTCTTCCAGTCATGTATGGCTGGGCTGGACCACTACAGATGCTTGGAAAGAAGCCACGGGGGACTTCTGGCCCTAATACCACTCCTGCAGACTTGCTGCTGAACTACTTTCCCAATTTTACCATTTGAACAACAATACAAATGAGTCAGTTACTAAACACTTGACTCTGGTCTGTGCAATGCCCCATGTTCTTCTGGCTGTGTGCCTCCACGTGTCTCCTCCAGCTCCAGCCAGGCTCTGACTTCATTGCTCAACCTCCTATCGACTTACCTGTGGTTGTACAGAAATGATGAAAAGGTTTGGGAAAAAGTAATTTCAGCCAAGCATGGGCTGGAGATGTTTCTCAACGCTCAATCACAAGAGTGCCTGATTTCCACTTGTTTTTCTTTGGAAGCTCTGCTCCCACAGCCAACTTACCTGGGAGGCCATGATCTCCGCTGCACGTTAAGCGCGGGTAAATCAAACCCAATCCTTTCAACCTGCTCAAACATCCAATCCCGGAGCTCATCCACGACCATTTGCTGCTGTGTCATCAGCTTGGCCTGATTAGCCATCAGGCTCCGTAGAAAGGGGTCAATACCACCTGCAACGGTTACGCAGGGACTTGTGAGCAGTGCAGGGTGGCAACTGTGTGTGTAAGAGGCTCAGGAGAGCTGAATGCAGCTTATGTTCAATTATAGGCTTCTACTTCAAGAGAATCAATTTTCCTGCACTTGAAGAATTAAAAAGAAAATACTTTGAATAATGTTCTTAGAGTCTACAGCAATTAAGCAATCAGACTGTATGCTTCATAATAAGATGGGCCGCATTTGACTGCAGAGAACAGCTATATTGGGAAAAACTGTGGCTGGTAGTAAAGGTCATTTAATACATTTAATGCAAACTGCTTTTAAGTTTGACTGAAGCAGGAGCTCATCCAGAGAGTGCAGAAAAGGCTGAATGAAATAAACTGACACTGCAGAAGTGCAAGAAGTTTACCTTCTTTAATGATCCTCCAGACAGCAAAGAAGGCGTTTCTGAGTTGAATTTTGGGACCTATGGGCTTGTAATTTTAATTCAAGCGGTCAACAGTTGGAGGAACTGAAGCATGAGCAACACGAAAAGCCAGGGTGAAGACATTGGATATTCGAGGATCCACAGACTCATTGTAGCCCCAGTAGCGAGGAATCAATCTCCGGAAACTGGTTCCCAACAGAAGAGGCAGGTAGCCCCTGTAGGTTATAATCTAGGGGGAAACAAGGAAAGTGTTAATCATTAATTGCTTGGCCATCAGTTTCTTTGGAAGCAAAGTTATTGTTTGTGTCCAAACTACAGGAGGTGTCACACTGAACTTTGATGGGATTTATGTAGGAGATTTTGCTAGCACAGATGTGGAGCAGAGAGACTCCCCAGGGCCAACCTTTCTTTCACCTCATCAGACCTTCACCCAGCTGCTCTGGCAGTCCGGTGGGGATCCTTTCTGGCACTGCTGAGTGTGACATTTTTGTTTCTTCAGCTCCGTGGCCTGGGTTCAAAGCCTCTTCTGCACCTGGCCATTGTACCATGCCACAGGTGGTGCAGCTCCAGGCACAGACACAGGCACTGCAGGCCACTGCCTGGGCTCCTGGTTTCTCCAGCCATGCATGGTGGGAGAAACACCCACTCTCTAGCAGTGATGAGATTTGCATGAACATGCAGTGGTTTGCATCTCTACATTCTCTAGCAGTGAAGAGATTTGCATGAACATGCAGTGGTTTGCATGAAAATGCAAAGTGGACATAACTGCTCCAGGAACATCAGGAAGCACAGCACTGCTCATGCCTGACACACGCTCATCCTCTGCCTGTGCACCGGGATCCTCTGCCCGTTGGTGCTGAGGACTTGGCACTCAGGTGTCCCCAGACATGCTCCTCCCTGCCTCAACAGCTTGGCAGGTCAGAGTAAGATGAAAGCCTGCCAAATCCTCCCAAATATTCCCTCCTCATCCTATAGGTAGAGGCCATTCCCATCAGCCAGGTAGATCTGCATTTCCTCCTCCCTCCCACCCTATGTGCTTCAGATGACAAAGGAAAAGTCAACAGTGTTGGCACAGATGATATCACCGCCCACGGGCAGCTGTGTTAGTCCTCCCATAGTAGAGGTTTCCAAACCTGGTCTCATGTCTCTTTGGGATATTGAGGAGGCTGCACAATTTAAAAAAATCAAGTTCTTTGACAGTAGGTGAAAATGTCTTAATTGTCTGAAAATTGCAGGAAGATGAAACCATTGATCTGAACACGATGATGGAGACAACGCTTTTAGTACAATTGTTTGAGTCTCTCCACATTGGCTTACCCAACATGTTTGTTCAACAATACTATAATATTTAAATTGACAGGTTTAAAAACAAACCTTTTGATATTCGTGCTTTTTTTTGTTTGTTTGTTGAGCCAACTCAGAAGAGAGGTTTCCAATTAGGTACGACTAAGCACTGCCTTTGGAAACCCCATGTATTCTTCTCTCACAGGAGCCGGCCTTTTCTGTTGGTTGTAAAACCTCATCTGGCTTTGAAGCTGGTCCTGCTCCAAATGGGAGGCTGGACAAGAGACCTTGAGAGGTCCCTTCCAAGCACAGAAATATTTCTGTGACCCTAGGATCTCATTCAGGGTAAAGTCTGTGGTACAGCACAGTCCCGAGGGGTTCTTTGCCCCAAAACAGTAAGGACAGAGGAATGCCCTGGCTGGTTGCACCCACCAGCACATGGGGCTTCTTGAGAGGAGGAGACTCACAACCCAGAGGAATTTTAATCCAAATCTCCAGTACCATTTTTATCCTGTACCAAACACTGGTTAGAAAAACTTTTCCTCTGACTTTTCTGTCCCCATGTTTCTCAAACAAATATGTGCAGTTAAAAACCCATCAAGCAATTTGGAAATTTATCAGTAGAGGGGCATCAAAGATTCAGGGGGACCCCTCTGTGCTTGTTATTTCAGGTATCTCCATGTGATTTTGCTTTGGACGAAAGGGGCTGGTGGAAAAAATTTGGTCATTTCCACCCCAAAATACTGCACCCTTTGGACACCCCACACTAACAAAGCCCATCATGTTAATTCTGTGAGACTGCAAGACAAGGCAGCAGAGCCAGGACATACAACATCGTGGCTGGTACCTGGATCATGGCACCCAGGATCTTTCGTGCCTCCTGGTAGAGCTTCTCTCCATTCCAGTGGGGATTTAGTCTCTTCAGCTCTCTAGCCAGGGGGTTGTGCTCCCGCACAAAGAGCGTGTGCATGCACGTCAGCTCCAGCACCTCGTTTGCTCAAGAATCACCTAGGAGTATCACAAGTGAGCAGACTTGTACTGCCGGTGACCTGCTGCTTGGCTGCTTCCCACTGGAAGGAGGCGAATGTCACATTGGGAAGCACGCGCAGAGAAATTTTTACATGTCTCGATATCTCTGCATTGTGACGAAGATGGGTAAGAAACACACAGGAGGAGAAGGAAACCAGGGTCTAGGTCCCGAGGGTTGGAGAGCACCAGAGAAAAGCCAAATTTCTGCTGAGGCAGCAAAAGCCAAGATGCCACCGTGGTTGTGCGCAGCATCACAGAGAGATGGGGCAATGTTTTTTTCAAATGAGGGCTAGGAGCATTAACTTAAGAAGCTAAATACCAGTAGGTGTTCTCCAGGCTCCCAGATCAGGGAGACAGTCTCACAGCTCAAGAGAGAAATGAAAATGGGCAGAGGGAAGTTAGGGTGGCCAAGGGAGCTCTGAAAGTCAGAAGGCATCTTTCAAACCAGCTGAAACTATGGCCAAAGCAAGATGACAGTCACAATCAGGCTCTCTGGTGAGTAAAAGTAAAAGCAAAATGAGTCACAACTTGAAGGAATAAATTACAAATGGCATCACAATGACATATTAAATCCTTTTTCAAACATCTAGGGCAGGAAACCCCAGAGCAAGCAGGTGATGAGAGTATAAAGAAGCACTCAGAGAAAAGTAAATATGTCATATTTAGTCCCATAGTAAATAGAGGGATTTGCTCTTGCATTCAGCACAGAGCCCTTTTCATTTACTGTCAAAGGCTGTCTGTAAGAGACTGCGGAAGGAGAAACAAAAGAAGCACTGTGAGGTTTCCTCGAGCAGAATGCATCCAACCCAGGGCTCCCAACAGAGCTCCAGTAGGAAATCGCTGAACCTTGTTAGGCAACTGCACACATAAAATTTCCCCAGTTCTCAGGGACCGGAAAAGTCACAAATAAGACACTGAATTTTCAAAGGAGCTTCCGAGCCAGCCTGAACTGTTCACTATAAATTCATTGACGGCTATGTGCCCTGCTATGGAACAGCAACTGCTCCGGCAGCCCCTAGCTGCAGAGTGCCGGGGGCTGGGAGCCCACCCTGGGAAGCATCCAATACGCCTGCCCGTTCTGCTCCTCACTGGGCATCTGCCCTGTGCCACAGGTCCTGCGTGGTCCTCACCAAGGAGAGACCTGCACAGAACTGGGGAAGCAGCTGAAGACATGGAACGATGGATGGGACAGACGGAGAGATGTGAGAGGTTGAAGGAAACATAAAACAACAAGAGCTCAAAAGGAGGGCGCTGGAGGATGACACCAAGCAGAGCTCTCCCACCGGCCCCACCACCAGGTCCTCACGGTATCCAAGGACCATGGGGATGTTGTCCAGAGGAGCTTGGGCCAGATATGTAGGGGGCCAAGGGAACAGAAATCAGCTCCACAGCTGATGAGATCTGTTGTGCCCTCAAGATTTCTCCGGCAGTGCCATGAGCAGCCTAGTGTGGCCAGAGCCAGCAGGAGTTAGCCAGGAGGTCCTGCTCGCCGAAAGAAAAGAACCAGGGAGTGAGACACTAATTCACAAGGTGTATCGGAAACATCCCTCTCTGGGGTCCCACAGGCTTGTGGCAACATTCTGGTCCTCTCCAGCAGGGGCCAGGGAGAAGGGAGCAATGCTCAGGGCTCCAGGAGGTCAGTTATTTTGCCTCTGTGTGCTGGGGACAGGAGAAGACAGCAAACGGCAGCAGATGGGAAGGTTGTGGTGGCTGTGCAGTGTTCTGGCTAGAGAGGAGGCATGGCTTTGGGAGGCTGTGCCCAGGACAAAAGGAGTTATTTTGGGTTGAAGAAGTGGTCAAGAGGATACCAAAAGCATGCCGAATGATAAACGGAGCAGGAGGCTGTCTTGATGGACTGAAGGCCTGTGCTGATGTCCTGGCCGGTGTGCTGCCAGTGCACCCCCAGCCTTCTCAGCGGTGGTGACATATCTTAAAAGGTCACCTTGGTCTGTGGCTAGCCTCATTCTCAGTCCAGCTGGGATCTAAGCTCCTCTCACAGTGCAGCAGACGCACTGATGTGCAGCAGCACAGGCAAATGTTTCATGGAGGTGACCCAGCCCAGCACCAACACGCCTCTACCCATCCTGATGGAAGAGAGACAGCCACCAAATGACGTAGCATGGAAAAGCCGTTGCCTTCAGGCCAGTCTGCTGTTGCTGCGTTTGCTCGGCTCCATCATGGCACTGGTTCTCAGGTCACCTCCAGCAGCCCCACGTGCTTTCTGGGCCCTACACCAGAGCTGCTGAGCACAGATGGGACAGCTTCACTACAGGCATATAGTCACAAAGAAGACTTGGAGACGGTGAAGACCTTTCTCCTACCCAAGCACAGCCTGTCTCAGTCTTTCATGATGTTTTGCTATGCTCCATTTTCTACTTAAATAAGAAAAACAAACAGTTAAAGAAATAAACCAGAGCTGTTGGAATTGTTCACTCTGGATTTCAGGGTTAGGGGTGCCAGCACCCGACTTACCTGCAAGAAAGCAAGGGATTTTAGCTCCCCGGCTGACTATAAGACAGGGGTCCTTCCGCATGCTGTCAAAGGGCATATATGCCTTCCCCCTATCAGAGAAATTCCAGTTAACAGCCAGCAAGCCCAGCTGGCTGGTCCGATCCCTCAGTTTGTTGGCCAAAGGCACTTCACTGCCGTACACCACGCTGCCATCAAGAAAGGAGGTGAGCGCATTGATCTGACCTCGAATTGCTCTGCCCCTAGTACAAGCAGGAGCTGAGTGGAAGAAAGGAAGGCAATCTCTTGTGTTTTTAATTTGTGGGTCATTGGGTGGGATCTGCAAAGAGATAAAAGAATAATTCATCACCAGTTCAGGGGTGCAGAAACTGCACTGTGATACTACAGCCGTAAGAAAAGCCAGGCAGGAGCCATTTCAAAGACAGTCCCCATGCTAGATAGCATGGAGATCAGTCATAAATCCCAGATATGATTGACAGCAGAGATGCTATTTTAGGAGTCCAAGTCCCAAATATGCATGAAAGCCTGGAGATGCCTAAATTTCCATAAAGTGCTATGGATAGCTAAACTTTTTTCCCTGAATATATACATACTGGATTGAATCTTTAAAGCTCAGGTGTACCTATCTCATGTTGGAGTCTAGTGTCCATGTCTACATTGTGGACAGCTGTCACCCAGAACCTGTGACCCTGCCTGCATTCTCAAATGCATGTTGGGCAAATACCCAGTGATGCTCCATCCCTTCACAGTTTTCCTTGAAAGAAAATGCGGGTACGTGGGAGAGCCAGAGCTGCAGTACATCTTCAAAGGCAGGAGAGCAGGGCTGCGGGGTGGACATGTACATCATTAAGCATTTACTGGAGCGGAGACTGCAGTGTGACTATCATGCTAATGCCTGAGCCACTATTGAGAGATGCTCGTCACTTCCTTGCCCCATGCACTACTGAGCATTTAACCATCAAATAGGCGTGGATTTGCTGGAGTATTGACACCCATCAGCACCTGTCTCTGACACATTTACCATAATCCAGGCATCACCCACGTTGCCTTTGCGCCATACCTCCAAAGCAAAGCCATATCGTTGAGGGAGATGGGTAAATGGTTGGGTACGGGGGAAAGACAGGCTGTGACTGTGCCTGACATCTGGGGACAGCCCCTGGCACCCAGCACCGCCACCTTACATAGAGTGGTCTGACCCCCTTGGCCTGCTCTGGGAGGATGTCCCTCCTTGGCCAAGGATGGGGAGAGCCACCAACATCTCCTGGTTGGAAGGCAGATACCCTCTCTCCCTCTTCCCTGCAAGAAGGCGGCTGTACCTTGATGGGAAAGCAAGGGGGCTGCTTAGCACAGCTGGTGTCACAGTCCACCTCACCACTGAAGGTGACTCTGGCTGGGGTGTCCGGACTGAAATCCAGGTCGTGGTCAATAAACTGGCCCCATTGCATGAGCATGAGTGATCTATGCTGGTCCATCCTGAGCTGCCCAGGGGGGAAGCGGACAACCTCGTTTGACACTTGTTGAACCTGCAGGGGATGAAGGTAGAACACGTGCGTTAGGAAATGACTTGTACGAATGGGTGCATCGGTTCGTAGGGTCATCAGCAAAAATTCACAAGGCTTTCCTTATACTTCATGGAAAAAACCCAAATCTCTCTCTGAGTCGGAAGGCATTACTGAGTGCCCCCTTTGCTGAGCATTGCATTGTTCTGGCTCTAGCCAGGTTTCTGAGCCTCTAGGCCAAGAGTATCCCTTGAGGGACATGTGGAAGCAGCTAAGCAAGAGCCGTACTGGATAGCCTGGGAAAGGGAGGCAAAAGATTTTAAAAGACCGCTTTGAAATAGAAGTGTGGAAAAAAATAGTCTTTGGGAATTTCTGAAGGTTTTCTCAGTAAACTCCTTCTAGCAGGACACTCTCCCAAAGCCCTCTTCCCTTCTCACCCCTTCCTCATCCATCACGATTCCCCCACAGTTCTTCCTTCATGTATTACTACAGAAAAAGCGGTCAAAACTCTGCTCAGGCCCTGGCACTGTGCTGTAGAGCAGAGTTAGGAAGTACAATGAAAGCACGACCATAAAATCGCGGAGCTCCTCATTAGTGCTGTTGTTGCACCAAGCCCAAGTGACCAGAAACCACATCACAGTGCCCCTGCTCCCGTCCAGGCTCCACGAGAGCCACACGCACCCCCACAGATCAGCCCACCCATGGACCCACACACAGAATTTCTAGCTGGATATTTTTTATTCCGGGGATTCACTTGTTTGTTTTATCCTCTGGCATATTGCTTTTCAGGAGACAACCATCTTCCACAAACCAAATCAAAAAAGGTGAGTAAATAACTTCGGCTTAAATGTACTTAATTTAAAAGAACACATTGCGCAATTCTTTCTTTATCCCGCGCTTCTCCAGTAATCAGATTAATTTTCCTCTGCTTTTCCTAAAAGCATGGGAGTTAGAAAGCATTTCTGTTAGATCACCCTGGAGATTCTCATACGATCAGCCTGAAGTTGGTGAATTTAACTTCCTCCTCCTGATCACCACCACGCCAGTTGGTGGACGTGCACTTTGACGCCTGTGATCTATCCAAGGACTGGCAATCCCTAAGCCCTGACACTGCATTTTCAGATGACTGTTACAAACGTTACCAGTGGAAAGGGGAATCCAGAGAAACGCTTTCCTTCTGTCCACCGGTGGGGGACTGACACGCCATCCTCATATTCTGCTGGCAACCATCTGACCAGGGCTCTGTTTGAAGCTCCTAGTGATGGGTTTCTCCTGTCAGAGTGCATGGAAAAACAGCAAACTATTAGTGTCATCGGGATCATGGCAGGGCCAAGAGTTCATGGATGCGGAGAGAGACAGGAACCTCAGAATGGGACCACACAGCCACGTACAATGGTCGGGGAGCTGCTGCAGCCCTACGGGTTTGGTGCTACCAATTAGCCTCAGGTTTAATAATAATAACAATAATAATAATAATACACGCCAAGCCTCAGCTTCTCCCAGGCAAGAACTCAGGTTGCTGATGAATCCTTGTGTCATCCAGCCTGAAGAAGGGCCCTCGGCCTCAGACCATGGGTGGAACACAAAGGTGAAAGCTTAACATCGGAGAAAAGGGGCAGAGACTTAGGCCCGTTCATTTAATGGTGTTACCAGTGATCTTTAATGGAAATGGGGTGATTTGGATTGTGAGTGTTACTATGCTGTAATTGGACTACGTGGTTATTATAGTTTGATTAGATCGTTAAAGCCTTAATACGGCTAATAATACATTTAATTTTGGAGTGCATGTATAAGATGTGTTCTCTGGTTGCCTGTCATACACCGTGGGTGTAACACTGCCTAGGGCCAAGCAATGGAGGGACGCAGAGCACAGGGCACAGCTGAGCCCACCTTCTCCAGGGCTTCAGGGTCTGGTTCAGGTGTGACGGGCCTGTCCTTATCCCAGAGCCCAGATACCCCTCCTGAATGAAGACACCGCTGTCTGAAAATGGAAGGAGGCAGGTAGCTCTCTCCCTCTTACACAGATACCTGAAGGCTAAAGCATCCCCTAGGCAGGCAGAGCTGTCTGAACTCCTTCCTCTGCCTGAGGTGCTCCCAGGAGATGCTCTGTCTACCAGGTTCTTGGTAACGGGAGGGATGGGGAATGCTCCTACACTGTCCCTTTTAAAACACTCCACTTGTCTCTCACATTGCAGTCATGCCCGACCATTTGTCCAACCATGGGACACGCAGAAGGTGCTCTCTCCCAGCCCGTGTGCCAGAGTTCCTCCCACGCACAATGTGGGGCAGGGAGACGGCCAGATCATGCCCCAGTATGTGTTTGGGGCAGGAAGCCCTCTGAGACCCTGCAAAGGGGCAGAGCCAGACAAAGCCCAGGAGAAAGACGAAAGATGCAGCCTGATGACTGAGACCCTGGGCGAGAGTTAGTCCCCAACACAGAGCTATTCATATTTTGGCCAAAGAGCTAGTTCATGTACAACACCAAGAACCCTCAAAGCAAGACTGTAATTAAGAGCTCCACACATCTAGAAAACAACACCGTGGGGTGTAAAACTCTAAAGAAGGCATACTACATGGATCATCCTTGGGGCCATGGGTCTAGTTCTACTGATGGAGGACCCATCCATCCATCCTCCTGTTGACACAACCTCCTCACCTGTTCTTGCACTCACCAGTGATCGTTCAGTAGCAGCAAGAAGCAGCACAATTTATTTTCTTATCCTGCTGGTCACATCCGCTTGCTTTGAAAATCAGCCCCAGCTGAGCTGGTGTCAGCAAGTCTGCCAGGTAACAACGGAGAATAAACATGCAGGAACATACTGGCCAGGAAAAAGTTTTCCTTCTTGTACACTTGAAATGGTTTCTTATCACAGTATTACCCAGAAGAGCACAGGAGGCTGTCATTTAAGGTCTTCCTGCTCAAAGATGTGCTGAGGATGCTCTCTAGAGCAGCAGATTGCTTTCTGTGGTTTGGAAAGAATTAAACCCAACAAAGTTGCAGTCAAATCTTACTTATAATTACATGTTAGGCCTGTGCAGCAGTGGAATGATTTTCTAGCATTAGCAACCCTTTTTCCTTCCTCTCCCCTCCCTTTTTATCTCCACCATAAATTGCTAACAGCTACAGTCATCCTAGTGGTGGGTGGCAAGTTTTTTCCCCCTGTGAAGCAGCCACCAGTGTGTATCACCACTGTTCAGAGCTGCCTGAAGAAGAAACCATCAGGCGGCTGGGCAGCACAAGGGGACGCCGGCTTTGCATTTCCACCGTGCAGATTTCCCCATGCATGGGAGGTAAGTGGATGAGTTCAACCAGCAAAGCCTTCTTGGCTATTGCTGCTAGCACACCACGGCCTCAGTCCCTTGGAGGTTTCCTAGCCACTGCTGCCACCAACAGTTTGGGTCACAGCATGGTTTAAGAAGCCACTGCTGCCTCCTGGGCAGGTGGATGAGAGGTGGCAGCGGGGTGGTCTGGCAAGTCTCTGGAGCGGTGCTGGAGCATCACTCCTGGATGGAGAGGCTGGAGCCGAGCACAGTCAGCCCTGCCTCCCTCTTCCCACTCAGCCCATGCTGGAGCGATGCTGGAGCACCCCATGACGTGTGTCGGCCTGCCAGTGCTTTGCTGTAATGCTGGGGATCCCCATGAGTTCACCTTTATATGGCGGGAGCCCTCCCTGTGCCTCCCTGAACTGCTTCTCTTACTGCCCCTAATTTGCCTTCTGCTCTCAGCAAACTGGTCTTGCTAGGAGGCCAGGACTGCCACCTCATGGAGGACATTGCTCCTTCAAGACACGTGCTGGAATGTCCTTTCACATTGCTCTGTTCTCAATCTCTATTTGTGCCTTTCTCACAGCATCCTGTTCCCGATGCAGAACAGTCTGGCAGTGACTTTGACTATTGCTGGGCAGAAAAACTACTTACCTTGGGGTTGAGCTATTGTGAGTTACATCCTCTGTGTTTGCTCATTCCCTACTTAAGCAAAAGAATATTGTCTAGCAAAGTTTTACAAGCTTTGACCCATTGGTACATTAACCGGTATACTGCAGAAAGAACCAGGGAAGTGCACAAAGCACTTTCATTAACAGATAAACCCCCAAATAATTCTTTTAAGATGGAAAGAGAGCACAGAAAAATAACTCAGCTTTGCCTCACTGCAGTCGCATGGGAGGGATTTGAGCCGTGGCCCATCATAACCCCCTTTCATTCCCTCCTCCCAAGCCCCACAAAGCCCCAGTGACCAAGCCCCGTATCTTCCTCCTCTGCCTTCCTCCCAGCAAAGTGAGATCCCTACCTGTGACATTGAAGTCCCCCCTCACAGCCCATCGCAGCTTCTCCTTGAGGAGGGTCAGGGTGGTTTCCATGTAATCTGCAGCCTGAACAGCAGCCCGAGTCCCCGCCACTGGCTTTTTAAAATATCCCAGAACCTCTGTGGGGGTCAAGGCATCTTTCTGCAGGTGCTCCTTTATGCTGCAAGGGAGAATAAAACAAAATCTGCAGGACCGAAATGGGGCAAAGCCAAGAGTCCTGCAGGTTACACACCTGAGCGTCGGGCACGCCAGCTCTCCTGCCACGTTACTAGTCTGAAGCGCAGACAGAGGCAGAGTCATCTACCTCCCTGCACAGTGGCTGGAAGAGACCAGGGCTGGTCCTGCCACCCTCAGCAGAGGAGCAGAGTTGCAGGAAGAGAATCTCTTAAATTGCCCAGCCCCACCTGCCAGAAGACAAATCTTAGGTCTTTACATCCTTGAGGCAACCAAACCTCACGCAACCGTTATCCAGCTCATCAACGTCTGCAGGTGCCAGTCTCCATCCAGAGGTCCCAAACATCTCCAAGTCACCCCGTCTTAATGCTGCTGGAGCCTTCTCTCAGATGGAGGGGTCCCTAAGCCAGCGAGGGGTTTCAGAGGATGGCTACTGAAGGAGGATATGTATGGGCTGGTAGGAAGCCGTACACTCCCAAACCATGGTGGCAAAAGCTGGGCTGTCCTGTCAGATCCCACAAAATGTCCTCACAGCAGTTTGCTCCCTCCATAGGAGGGAACCACTAGAAATCAGCAGGAACTTGTGCTGGCTCCAGTCCTCCTTGGAGTATCCCTGAGGGATGAAACAGAGCCAAGCAATACTGAGCTGGGAGGAACGGCATGCATGGAGGAGGACAGAGTTACAGCTCTTAGTGACCCAACAAACTGGAGCTGTGGTGTAAAAACAGGGTGAAGGCAGGCAAAATGCTGGACTACAGCCCACTGTGCTCCTGGAGGACCTCGCACCCTTGCCCACTCTGCCAGAGCGAGGAGGAAAAGCCAGTGATGCTGCAGTGCAGGCAGGGCACACGGCGTATGCCAGCAGCTGAGCCCAGTCCCGACTCTCACTGGTCGCGTGTGCGCTTGTAGGCTGCATTCACCAGCTGCTTGGCCTCGTTCACGCTGCTCAGGAGGGATGAGTCCGACAGCTCTGCTGGCAGAATTCGGTAAGGGAAAGGAAAGAGCAGAGGTGAGAGTGCTGTCTCCCACCCGGGAGCATCCCTGTGCTGCAGTGAGGTTCTCTTCATGCCTCCAGCACCCAGGGGTATCGGCACAGCAGTGCTGGAAGTAATTGCTGCTGCTCGCTCTCTAGAGAGAGGTATGTATATACATATATTCCTTAGGGGAGTCTGAGAGAGTCACTCCCGGGCATGAAAAGGGTATCTTCATCAGTGAAGGCTTCAAATAGCCACCATGAGAGATGTAGGCATCATCCCTCCTGCCATTTCATAGCAGAGCGGTTGCTATTTCTTCAAGATATTTTGCAACCCCAATTAATGTGATTCATCTTATTTCTACGCCTCCAGCCATAGTTGCCTTCAGAGAGCCTGCACGGATACCACTGGCTGCCGTGACAAGCATGAAGAGCCCAGCATTAAGAGCTCTTGTCTGCTGTTTTTTTCTCATCACTGTCTTTAGTCCCCCACTTTTTATCCTAGGTTGGTTATAGCCACGTTGCCAATACACCTATGGTGAGTTTGGGTCCTTCCCCATGGCATCAACTGGCCAAAGCTCATATATATCCCCCTACACCTCAAGGCAGAGGATACACAGCCCGGTTTCCCCACTGCTTTCTCCAGTCCATCCTGCAGCCTCCTGCCACCCTCACTGCTCCCCCTCCTGCCTGGGGAGCTCCCAAAAATGAATTGCGTTCCCATCATCTGCTGGCTGCGGGTCACAGAACAGGAGGGGACATTTTCCTACAGCTTCTAGGGAAGAAGAAAACTTCAGATATCACCACGAAGCGGATAAATATCTGCAAATTGTCCCCAGATTCTTTAAAATATCTTCCCTGATCAACCCGGAGTTCACCTCTGACAATCTTGGTGAGCAAAATTATTGCCTGGACCACCATTTGAGACAAATGAAAGGTCAGGCATGTGCTTTCCGTAAGGATTTTACATTGTAAATTAACAGGCAGAGGTCTCTATAGGTTTTGGAGCAGTAATTCAGGGCTGGAAGAGAGCCAAGTGACTGCCCCATCCCCAAACTCCACAGCCCCCGGCAGCTCCGATTCACCAAACGCTGCAGCAGCTGAAGCGAGTTCACTTCAGAAAGAGACAATAATTCATTCCTCACTCTGAGAGCAGGAACCAGCCCCCCCGAGAAGAGGGGAGTTCAGTTTTCAGCCTCCATAAAAAACAGCATGAATGCAGTAAGGGAGCTGCCTGCTGCCGGCACTGCAGCCCCCAGGGCTGAACCGCGCTCTCCCGGGAGAGGCTGCGCTCGCCGCTTTGCAGAGTGTGCAGGGAGGGAGACCGCTGCACCGTGGGGAAGGAGCGGTTCTGAGAACTGACCTCTCCTTTAACGTGGTTTTAAGAAATCAGACAGGGCGTTAACTGGTAAAAACGTGAAACAGGCAGGATTGCTGCCACAATAGATACCAACTGACTATGCTCCTTCTGACACCTCTTCAGGACTTTGCTGCTTGCAATAGAATGATTCAGGCTCTTCTAGACATAACTTTATCTTTTCTACTCAAGAAACCCCCTGATCTGCAAAACCTGAGGAAAGGACAATACCACAGGAAGAAGATACAGATGCCTGAAACAGGCTGAGGATCGCCAGCAACCCCAGGAAGATTTCTGCCTTCATCCCTGCAAAGAAATGCAAGAAGCGAAGAAAACCAAGGATCTGTGGATCTCGCCATGCATTGGAAAGGTCAGTGCTGACACTGCTGATGGCACGTGTTAAGGGAGCTCACCAGGTGTCCCCTTCCCAAGAGCGAGTGTGCTGCCTGGGAGGTCCTTCCAGTGGCACATGGCCTCCTGTCCCGGGGACCTCAGGCACTGGCGGGAACACACTGCTTTGGCACTACAGGGGCAAGACAAAAGGGAGCAGGGGGCAGAACACCCTGCCAGCGCTGCAGGCAGGCAGCTTGCCGGGGAGCCTCAGCAGCAACACTGACCGTGCAGGGAGAGTTGGTGCATGGGGTTAGAAGAGCTGGAGGGGAAGAGGGATCAGCCAGGGCATCATGGGAGGTCCTCTACACATAGACATTTGGGATGTTTTTGCCCAAAGCTGACCCACTCACCTCCCAAGGCTGCTCCAAAGCAATCAGCTCTATCAGAACGAGCCCAGAGCTGTGCGCTGTGCCTATTGCACATTGCTTAGCACCCACCATGTAGCTGCCGGCAAAGGTAGCCCAGAGTCCACCCTAAAATGCCGAGCTAAACCCATTCCCTGTGGAGGAGCCCCCAGCAACAGCAGCAATGTGGTCCAGCCACATCCTCGCTGTGCTCCAGCTGTGCTTGGTGCCAGGCGGAGAGTGGTGCCAGCCCTGGAGCAAGGTGGGGGAAGCCACCACACAAGCAGCGGGAAGCACAGACCTCAGCTGGATGCTCCAAACACAGCCCCAGTCCCCCACCCGTGGTTCAGAAACAAGCGCTCCACGAAAGCAAAAGCAAGCGTGCAACGGGCCAGGCTCTCACCTGCGATCTTCTGCTGTCCTCACCATGGCCCACTCCGCGCCTGCACTTTTATCTGCAGCAGGGCATTATCTGCAGCGGGCGGCCCAGCAGGGCTGACCCACGGAGCTTGGAAACTCCCCCATGGGTGCATGAGGCCAAGGCAGCGCAGCACCCACCTCCCACCCCAGCTCCCTAGCAGGGAGGCTCCTGTGCACCCACCTGGATACACAGCCTGATGCTCAAGCAGAGCTTCCCCAGTTTTTTGGGGGGGAGATGTAAGGCAGTACTTTGCCATGGTTTGAGAGTCTTGACTCCTTCTGGGGATGTCTTACAGGGACAGGGTTCCTTCCCCCCTGGTGCTCTTCATCCTTTGCTGCTCTTAGAGGTCAAGAAAGATGTCTTCATATCCACCTATGGAGGCACCAGCTCTACAGGGTGTCTGCTCTGCTCAGCACTCCCCATCTCACCTCCCTAATCCGCCCTGCCCTGTGTCCCTGTTGTGGTCTGGAAGGGTCCATGAATGCTGGTCCTTGTGCATTTCCCTGCGTAGACAGGAGCAGCAGGAGGAGGAACCGGGATGATGGTTTGAACAGGTTTCACCAACCTCCAGCTGCTGATCTTGAGCACAGGGCAGCTCAGGTAGGGTCTCACCCTTGCCCAAACTGCCATTGTACTGGGCGCTCATCTGACAAAGCACCACCTCTTCCCCCGGCCAAAGACCCTCTCCCTGTCTGAGTGCAAATCTAGCTGATGGACAAATCCTTGCCGTGTTACAGCTGTGCCGATGGGGCAGGGCAGTGGGATACTGCTGGGTCAGGCAAATGATGTGCTTGAACAAGCTGATGTACAGAGAAGCAAAGGAGCTGCTCACCAGCGCTCCTCCTCAGCTCACTCCTCACTAATTGCGCATTGCAATTGTGTTTTTCCTTCAGTAACAGAAACTCCTTGGTGCAGCAGCACAGACTGAGAGCACCCAAGTCTCTGCCAGTGTTCCCCCGGGGTAGGTTAAATGAATGTCTATTAGCTGAACTCTTCCCTGCGTGGGGCGCTCCAGGAACCGCAGTGGTTGTACAGTGCCTCTAGCAGCGACTCTGCAGGTGTCCCCGTCCCGAAGCTGGGCTACTTGCAGGTGGAGCCGTACCTTTTGACGCACTGTCTTGGTCCTTCAGTGCTTTAAAGAAAATCTGCAAAGCAAATTGCAATTCTTGCAGTGAGTCACAGGTGAGGCTGCGCCTGGAGCACAGGTCCTGTTTGCAGACCCCTAGTCCAAGACAGGTTTTGGCAAACTGGAGGGAAGCCCTAGAGCACAGGACATATGAGAAAGCTGGGTTTGGTCAGCCTGGAGGGGAGAAGGCTCAGGGGAGCCTCACTATTGGCTTCAACTGTCTGATGGGAGGGCTATAGAGCAGATAGAGCCAGAGTCTTTTCCGAAGTGCACAGTGGAAGGACGAGAGGCAATGGGAACGTGGTGCTGCAAAGAAAATTCCCATTAGACGTAAGGAAACCACCCATGAGAGTGGTGCAGTGCTGGGACGGGGCCCAGAAAAGGGGTGGGATCTGCATCCTTGGAGATAGCGCTCACTTGAACAAGACCCTGAGCAACCTTCCCTGGCCTTCGAGGTAGCCCGGCTGTGGGCAGGGGGGGCACCAGAGACTCAGGAGGTGCCCGCACCTTTCTGCACGTTTGAGACAGAAGCGGAGTATCTGCCTGAGGTGCCACCACCACCAGCTGCTTGCACAACGGCGAGCGCAGCACTGCTCTTGTGCAAAGGGGCAGAGCTGACAGATTTTCGAAGCCATTATCTGTGTGCTTCCTCTGCTGTACGATGCAGCTCACCGGTTAGAAGAGGATAAGGATTTTTCAAAGGCTAGTGAGACAGTTAGTGCATATCTGTGCCGATAATTGCATTTCACAATTAGGAACTTACTTAATTGCTCTCAAAACTACTTCAGAAACCATGAAAGTGGGAGGTTTTGAGAGATGCTTTGTCTCTTGAATGTGTTCACTTTCCGCAGGGCCTGTGACCCTGCTCCCAGATAACGGTGTATGGGAAAGGCTGTGTATCTGGGTGAGCCTTCTGTTGAGCATCAACACAAGTGCCAAGCCCTTGTGCTCACCACCTTCAGGAGCAAAGAAGAGACCACGTGCTGCTCCTCTAGAGTAAGGGAACAAGAATATGTTGATGCAAGCAACAGTGCCTCAGAGCAGAGACGTGCCATCAACACCTGGGATACAGCCCAGCAATTAAAAGCAGAGGGTATCTAGATTATATTTGCATTTTACCTTATTTTTTTGTTTCTTGTAGCCTTTTGTGTTTAGCCACCAAAGCCTGAAGGTCTTAAACCTTTCTCAAGAAGACATCTCTCAGCTTTGCTGTAAAACCTGCCTGGTGTTGGGGAACCAGCTGAATTAGGGTGACACTGCTAAATGACCCAACATTTACGCACCAGTGGCCTTCGCAGAGCCCCACGTAACACCGCAGATCGCAGTTTCAGGTGCCCACGTTTCCACTGATGGGACTATGAGGCATCAGCTACTCCATGAGTCGTAAGAGCAAGGTACAGAGCCAACACCTGCGGTCTGGCCTCAGAGCTTTTGGGGTTTCCTTATTTTTCCCTCTTTTAGCCAAAGTATATTGAAGCATATAAAGAGTATCATCCAGCTGAACTGTTCCAGCTGAATGAGAGGGGAAAACCACTTTTTTTCTTCTCCTTTCTTGGGGTCAGATGCCACAGACAGCAGCTTTGTTCAGTTCCAGATGTCTTCTAGGCAAACAGGCAGAAAAACTGCAACTCCTAGCAAGACCAGAGGAAAGCTCAGTCTGCCTCCGGCATCTCCACCCCTCTCTTGCCACATCAGAGAGACCACACAGGGTTGAGGCCCTGCAGAACTGAGCAGCTAGAGCAGGTCCACACAGGAGGATTGGACATCGAGTAGCCCAAGAGTCGTGTGTCTGCCATGGTGGCACTACAAAAATCAACACCAATAATAATAATAATGGCATTTTTGATAATACACATTTAGACTTTTGCACAGGGCAGCAGTCCCCAGAACAACGCCAAACTGGGAGACACAGAGGTAGCAAAGCCTCTTCTCTAGGCATAGCACTGATTGAGACCCCACCTGCAGCACTGCGTCCAGCTCTGGAGCCCTCAGCACAAGAAGGACACGGACCTGTTGGAGCAGGTCCAGAGGA